GAAATCCTTTAGCATTTCGCGAAAAGGTCGCAAGTGACCCAAGTTCATCGTGGGCGCGGCTGGTCATTTCACGGACATTGGGCTAGTGGACAACATGAAATTAGTACGTGTCGCAACATTTGTAAGCAGGCCAATGTGAGACACATATATCCATCGCTTTTTGATCATTGTTTTTTTAAACGATCAATCCAGATTCAGTACTTCAAAAAGGAGTCGAAAATGATGAGAGGAGACAATGCCCTGGAGGAGCACCGAAGAGCCAGAGGACGAAAGTGGGCAGAAGAGAAAAGACGAATCACAAAGTGAAACCAGAAGTCACGACGGACAACTGAACAAGACCACTACAATGTCACGTGAAACTGCACACATATATGCCGGCAAGTAAACATCTGTCGATGTGAAGAGCGGCTGTGGATTTAACGTGAAGATCCAACCCAACCGCGGACACATGACCGATTCCTATATGTATGCATTATGTTTATATATATATATATATATATGTATATGTATATGTATATATGAACAGTTATGAAATCTGTTTGGCACATGTGTTTGAAAACACATGGTATCGTTCGAATGGGGCAAATGAAGCACGCATGTTTAGTGCAGTCGAACGAAGCAAACGAGAATCACAGACTTACTTGTGATATGCCGGCACACTGCAAGTTTGAAGACATCATCGGCAATATGTAGGATGGAGACGGGAAAGTGGCGACGAAGTGCAATATCTAACTGGTTTGAACTTTGGATGCATGTTAGCACGCCGACCCAGAACAACAGACTCAGATTTCAAGACCAAGAATGAAACTGCCAACAACAACATACACATTTGTCACCCTCATTTGAACCATGCAGACCACGCCCCCTTTTGAACAGCGAACAAGCTGAACAACATATTTGCGGTGATTGCAAAGCCACATCAAGCAAGCCTCATTCCCTCCTCAGTTTCGCCTCCTTCCTCACCATGTTCCTTTTCCTTTCTCCGAGTAGGGGCCAGAGGACCAGCATGAAATCGTCTCAAGGTTGACTGGCATTCATGTACGTTGTGTGTTGCTGAGACAACGAGAAGAAACAACAACAGGGATAGGTGAGCACATGCAGCCTGCACAAATCATTGCGAGCTCCCCGTGGGGTGAAACGAGCTCACCTAAATCCCTAATTCAGTTTGGTGAAATGTAGTGCAGCTGTGGTGGGCCTTCTGGGTGAGGTTTGGTGTCTCAACACGTGTCAATTCATTGGCTGGGCTTTCCAGATACAGTCTACATCACACGTCTTACCGGTGGTGAACATGCATATATACATATATGTATATAGACGCACATGAATAGACCAATACATATACATAAATAGACATATATATATATATACACAACCTACAACCCACGCAAAAACCCAAGCACCCCACTTCTGATCACCGGGCCGAGCGCTCGAACTCGCGCTCACCAAAGCTTCAACGACCGATCACTCCCTCACGTGCGTCCGTGCGTTCAGGCTGCTGGTGGACAAGGCTCCGGAGCTGCTCACGGTGAAGAACGCCATGAACAAGACCCCGCTGGACTGCGCCGGGGCTCCCGGACCCACAGGAAGTGGCGCTAGGTCCCTCCAGCTAGGTGTCCTTTTACCCCCGTTTTTGGTTGGGACGCTTCCCCTACTAAAATAGACTACAGAAAAATGGGCACCCTTATTCTAACCTCTCTACTGGAGGACCTAGGTGGGAAAAATGGCGTCAGAGTCGCCAAGAGTCAGGCGAAAAGCCTAGGGCAGGCGACAGCTGAGGCCGAAAGCTGTGGAAAAGCCGAAGTTCGGCGGAGTTGGATGGGCAGTTTTCCGGGTTTTGTTGTTTTGGATTTGGAGGGTTTGACAATCAAGTCCCTAACAAAACAAAGGGGGAGGGAACAGGACGGAGTCGAGGTCAAAACGGATTCCATAAAATGAAGAAATTCGAAAGAACAGAACACTTGATTAAAAGTGGTGACTCCCCAATGCAATATATGATGACATCTGAAATTCCGAAACCTCGACGTGGTCTCTCCAGTAGAATCGACATGAGACCTGACAAGCAATCAACACTCTTTGGAGGCTTATTGTTGCGGGACCCATTTTTGAGTTCAAAGTAAGTTCGATGTTATTACATGGTGACCCCATGGATATTCCGTGGTGACCCCATACAGATGGTGGCCCCTACATGTTGGCCCCTAAAGGTGTTTCCGTACCATTAATGTGTTGTAAACATGGCAGCCCGAATAACAACTGAAACTGGAATTCCCTGGGTTGTCCTTTTGCAACACTTGGCATGCTTCGAAAGCGAGTTGGAACATGTGAATGACCACTTGCTGTTTGAGGGGTGGGGAGTAGCTGTTGATTTTCCGGTAAGGTAATTCCCTCAAGGGGGTGGCGGCCCACCGGACCGGCGAGCGAAAGAAACGCGCGGAGCGCGGCTCAGGCAAAATATGAGAAGAAGCGTCAGCAAGCGGCGTACTTGCAGAATTTGCCCCACTGAGTAGGCCCCAATTTCGACGATATCCCCGAGCCTAGTTGGTGCTCACGTGCTCGAGTGTGTGGGAATCAGGAAAACACAGAGCGTGTGCGACCGGGCAGAAGTCAGTGACAAGGATGCTCTTGAAGAGCAATCAATGGATATGTGAAACAATGATGTGGACAAGGACTGAGCTGGCGCAACTCACCTGCACCTGCAACATTGAACGCTATGAAGCTTCTACAAACTATCCCCCCGTTGTTTTATTTGTAGCATTCGATGCAAGATTCGAGAAGGGGCATGTGAGTGTGTCCAAAATTGATGGACCCCATCTTGGTCGGCATCTAACGAGAAGCCACGAAAAAACCAAGGACTGCGACTTTAAGAAGCCCCATACTTGTATGAGGCAATGGCCTTTTGTGTCACATTGGAAATTCCTCTCTGAGCTACCCAGGGGTGCACTGCTGCCACTTGTCCCTTTTGTTTGGTGGGTTCCCCACGAAGAATGGTAGCTTCCATGATCCAATTTTTGGTTCAAGCAGACCTCAAGTGGCGGTTTCCCTCAGTGGCGCGTTGGATGGAGATCTTTTGGCCATGCAGTCCCGAAAGAGGAAGGATGGTTCCGGCTTTAATGGGATCTGTGTCGGCGATGTGATCTGCAAACATCAATGCATATCATATGAGTTCATGTTGGTGTTGGCACACTTGGTATGCCTTTTCGCAGCCTATCCCTGAACATGCCTGCGTTTTGCCACATTGGAAAGCATGATCCGCCCTGGATGTCCCTTCGTGAGGTGCTTTTGCTAGTTGGACATCCGAGGCTATTCTCGGTTATTTTTCTTGGAGAACCAGCAAGTTTCGTACCCCGCTAACGTGGCACCTGACATCCCTCCAAGAGGAATTTGACCTTCCAGGTACCCTCCCACAGGTGCCATGTGTGCACTTTTATGAGATGCCATCTCTTGCAGAGTGCTTGGCTGTGCCGAGGCGCTTGGTCAAATCTGAGGGTCTGTCTCAGAGCCCGTTTTGGATGTTCGGAATGAACGGAAGGCGTTTGGAAGAGTCTGTAAATTTGAGAAACAGCCACCCTAGGGTTCAACCCCCATCAAAAGAATGGGTGACCCAATGTGGATGATGAATCTCCTTAGGTCAATGATGGGTGGTTAAATCAGCCCAACCTTTGTTTTAGCTGGTGGCAACTGAACCCCAGGGCCCATATGTGAAGTCTCGCCCCATGAGGTTGATCTCTGAAGGGGTGTGTTTTCTAATGATGACACACCAAAAGACTGCTTGCGTTTTCTTTTTTGGTTTACCCTCATCCACCGAAAAGGAGATTCCCGACGTCAAACGCCATCCAGAAGGGTTCTCCAAGGTCTCAAGGGCCACCTCAAATGGCGTGTTGACTTGAGCCAGTTGCCATGTCGAGACCAGGGCGATATCGTCCTGGTGGCTGCCAGCAAGGACAATGTGAACGTCATGCTTGCTGGCACCTCAGCGCTTGGATTTGACGAACAATATGCAACGAGCGCACCGTATAGTAATTTGCCCAGACAGTGTTGGAATTAAGAGCAAAACCGAATTCAACTTCCATCATTTGTAGCGTTTTTGCGAGAGGGAATGGTCTCATCGTTGGAAGCATCGATGTCTTACAGTGGTGCCAATCGCTCCGTGGTTGCACCCTGTTCATCCTCTTATGGGAAAGAAAGTGGTTCGCCTGCGAGAGGGACTGCCAGGATGGCCACAAACATCATTTTTCAAGGGGTCCGACTTGAGCCCAAAGTGAGCTTCACAGAAGGAAGCCACCTGTGCAGCCGCTGATGGCATTTCTTGAATGTGGTACTTGACGTTTTTAGTATGCATTGTTCCTGAGTTGACTGGGCTTCTCAACGTTGCTCGACTGGCTCATCGCAGCAGATGTCAGATGATAGTGCGGATCGAGGAAGTTGATGTTTGCCTTCCTGATATTCGTGCAGCACACTCCAAAAGAGATGGGGTTGGTTCCACCACCTTGCAGCCAAGTAAACCCATCGCGAACTATGGCAAATGCTTGTTCTTTGTTGCTATCTGACAGATGTTTGACGTTGGAATCTGCGGCTTTTTTCGACACCACATACATGAAGAGGGAAACCAGATCGCAACGACTGGCTTGGCCTGGTGATACAAACATGGGATGCAATCGTGCTCTTCGTTCAATCAAAATCGTGGCGTTGGCTAGAAATTGGACGAAGCCTTGAAGGCTACAAGAGATGGGTCTTTCCTTTCTCGCTTACGTGGTGTGAATCGACAAGCGACACCTCCATGGATGTTCTTTGCTTGCTTTTTGGTGTTGTGTATTTCTTTCACACCGACAGCGTACGCAGTACATTGCCTAGTCATAGCATTTCTCACAAGCTCCCTTTTCACAGCAATTTCCACACTCTCCGAATTGCAGCTTCTTCTCTTGTTTTTTTTGTGGGGGGGGAGGCTTCTGAAAATACCATCTTAGAGTACCTTGTCAGGATGTAGTTTGACCCCTTTTTCCTCCAGCACATTAGAAGTTTCTGGGAGATGGGGCTGTTGGGACGTGAGAGGTCCTGAAGCTCCTCTACAAGATGGTGGACCTTTTCAAGGCAGGAGATTTGGGCCAGGTCTACCGGGCCCCAATAACATCCTGGGATGGAGGGGAAGAACGTGTGGAGGTGAAGGCCACTTTTGCCAGGACAGGCAGATGGGGGCTTTTGATTTGCCTCAGAGGGGAAATCCCAGGACCTCGTCTTTTTTCTTCCAACACTCTACAGTAACCCAGTCTTATTGCATCTCACCTGGGAGCCGGTGGTCGTCGTGTGTTGCCACGGTCTGTGTGAGTGTGTGTGTGTGTGTGTTTCACATCTATGTGGGCCTAATACAGAAACTCTTGGGCCAGTGTGTCGTTGGCTTGGTGGCTTTATGCCTATACATGAATTACTGAGAAGTCAATGATGTTTTCCTTTCGAATACAGTGCCTAGAGCCGCATTTCTTTGCTTGGTCGTGCGATGTGCTTGACTCCTTAGTGGCATGGGGGTCTGTCGAGTGCCATGTTCACCACGCGTCGGGACCAAGAACATGTGGTCATGTCCACCGTGACTTAGGCCACTTGTTCTCCAAGCAAAAACGTGTGGGTTTGGAATTGACCATGGGCATCTTGTTTCCAGACTGCCGGCTCAGACAGCTGGCAGCGCAGATCTCATCCTATGTCAGCTTTGCCGTATACTGACACGCGCGTTTTCCATCAAAGCCAAGAGCGCGACACTTGTTGCGCACCTCTCAAAAAACTGATTTCACGCACCGGGCGTGTTTGGCCCGCTTCTGTTCCGCAGTTCTCGCGTTTTCCGCCCGCCAGTTTGTAGTTTTTTTCATGCAGACCGCATGCAGTTCCAAGTTCTAGGCGACAGCAAAGCTCAACTAGTTCCAGTACCATGGAATTTCCTTCCAAATTTCTTTACTTCCTTGGATGAGAAATCCACACCTTCCGAATAGCTTGCTAGCCTATGGGCATGCTCTGTGAACAATTGGGTGCTTCCAGGGTCCTAGACTTGTACGGGAAACCAAAGGAAGCCAGGCGACTGTTCCCTTCCGAGCTTCTGATATGGCAGTCTTGGCGCATTCGGAGAGCCCCCGATTGCTTGGAGAGAGTTCTGTCTTCCACTCTGGAACTGTTTGCCACGTTTCGTTCAACCAAAGGCGTATGTCACGGCAGGCTTTGACTGACCAGTCTTGCCAGGCATACTTTGGCGGCTCTTTTGATGAGAACCAGGCGGGTATCTTGACCCTTCTTAGCACAGGCACGACCACTTGCCATTGGAGTTTCGAGTTGTGACCAATGCAGGGCTGGGGAAATGGAACAAGGAAAGGGCCTTGGAATGCCTTTTTCTCATATCTTGATCGCCATCAAACGCCCATTCGTTTCGCTCCAGGCTGAGGCATGCGCAAGTTGCGCCAGCTGGTGCTCGCGGGTTCGTGAAGGTATCATACCCTCTTAGTCACTCATTGTAGATTGCAGAATCACAAGGCCACAGATGCACGAAAGCACTGGCAATGCTTCTTTGCGTACTTGTGGTGGACTGTTTCGATACTCTAGATGGAGCTGTCACGGTCTACTTCGCGTACCACGCGTGAAACAAGGAAGCGTTGTTCCGCAAGCCGCCTTTCCAGTAGCAGCTCGCGGTGTTCTGGATGGAAGGTTGCATAAGGTGTACTTGACGCCCATTTGTCGCGCAAGCCAACACATGCATTGCGAAAGGAGGCGCATAAATCAAGGACACAAGGTAGCCGGCTGTCTCGCCGCCCTTGCGAACATGAAATGCACATGTTGAACATGTGTATTCTGATTTGTCTTATTTTGGGGGCTCCAACCCTCTGTCCCGCCAAGCCTGCCACAGTGCGTCTTTGAGGCTGTTAGATTTATGCCATGTTGTGAGCGCATGTATGGAGAAGGCCGCATGTATGACGGCCAGAGAAGTGCGCCGTGAGCGCATGTATGTAGAACGTTACCATATGTGCCAGCATGTGCGCATGTGACCGTGAAGCGCAATCATAAATTCGCAACGCCCAAACCGATACCCAAACCGATGCCCCACCGCTACCCAACTCATTGGCCACCATGCTGGATGCAACCAGCTGCCCTGGAGCTGCCACAATGTAGTTTGTGAACGCCTGTGTACTAAAGAGTTGCGACTTTTGAGCTGGAGCAGACTTCGTATACTACAGTTGCGACCTTCCCGCTGGAGCTGCCAAAATGCACCTTGTGCGCTACACTTGTACTCAAAGGTTGCGACTTTCGAGCTGGAGCTGCCCGTGTATAGCGTATATTACATTTGTACTGAAAAGTCGCCACTTTGGAGCAAGAGGTGCCGAAACACTGCAACCGATGCAGAGGAAGAAAGCCGATACTGAACGACAGCAAGGTATAAGGTTACAAGGGTTGTCCACGGGGGTGCTTTTTCCAGCCCATTTGAATTGGTTTCTGAGCCCATTCAACAGTAGAAGAGCATAAGGCTTGGGTTCC